GAAAGAAAAGGGTTATAGTTGTTATCATCGTACGCGGTTATGTTTTTGAATTTTGACTTTGAATATTATGCCATATGATGCTGCTTCGTGACTTCTCAATGGAGAAATTACTATATAGATAAATTATTAGTGTGATATCTCTAAATGACTTGTTATACTTTATTTTCTTATATATAAAAGACATATATCTTATATACAAAACACGTATATATGTATATAGTATATACCGTCTGAAATCCATTCCATCTAAAACTAAATCCGAATATTCCATAACAAACACAAAAAAGGGGGAGTATTGTCACATTTATCATATAATAATCAATCATCAAAGGTAAATGAAGCAAGGCAAAGGTTTGGGCAACAAAACGGCGCCGTTTCCAGAGCCACCATCAAAACCAGCCTTCAACTTATCACAAATTACCTTAAGCCCTCGCTCTCTCTCTCCCCAAGCCTCCGTTTTGAATGTCACCCAGACAGCGATTCTCAGGCTAAACGACACCGTTCCACTACCCTCCCTCTCCTTCATCATCTCCTCCGCCACCCATGGCGGAACCTCCGGCTCCTCCTTCTCCCCCGCCGTAAACCTCTCTCCGATCTCCACCGTCTTCTTCGTCTCCAAGTGCAACGGCGTGAAGAACCCCATCGCTAGGAACTCGTCCTCGCCGACGGAGTTCTGGTGGTACACGAGCCCTTGGATTCGGTTGAAGTACGCTCCCAGCTTCGTGTTCGGATTCTCCACCGTGAGATTCGCCGTCCACTGAGCGGTGAAATCTGGTTGACTCGCGTTGAACCCCGACACGGTGAAATGGGTCACCGAGAAAATCGGGAGTTGGGGTCGGAGAGCGAGCCAGGTCACGACGGTGGACAGGCAGAGGATGACGACGAGGATTATGAGTCCGGTGAGGATTCCTCTGACGAATCCGGCGGATGCGGCGGAGCTCCGGTTAGCCTGGTATTGATAGGTCATGTACGGCGAGGGCGACGGCGGCGACCCATAATATGATGCAGGTGGAGCTTGTCCATAAGGTACGTAGTGTGTGTTGTACGGTCCGTTCGGGTAATTCGGGTAGCCCATCACCGGGGGTTGCGACGGATGGTGGTTTTCCGGTTGAGGCTGCGGCGGAGGAGCCGGTGGTTGCCGGGTTTCCGGTTCAGAGGACGCATGACCCGTTTCTGTTTTGGGTTGTTCTTCTGCTTCACGAGGAGAAGGCATGGCGTCCCTCTCTTGTGATCCAAGATGGAAGAAACAGGAAGACGATGATTATGTGCAAATAATTTTGTTTTTGTTTTTCTTGTTGAATGAAATTAAGGGAAGAAGGGTAAAAATAGTGAATCCGCCATGGCTGAGCTAAAATTAGCACCGCCATTGATGCCAAGGATGTTTGTTTAGATTGCATTCGTTGTTACTCCATGTTCTTTATAAGACATCAGAATTCTTCGTATCTAAAACCTGAAATTAGTGGAAACAAAAACACAAATCATCCTACAAAATCATGTAAAATAATCAGAGCTTGAAAACAATTCTTAATTTGTTCCTAAACTATTTGATTATTGATCGGTGAGATGCTACTAGCAATCATCCCGTTGATTAAAAAAAAAACAAACCCACATAGTTATCTAGCTTAATAAAAGCCCAATTAGCCCAAATATTTTATCTTACAATATTTTTGTCCAATTTTTTTTTGGTAGGTCCAGAATAATTAGGCTACGTTCTATATAATAAACAAACGATTTTTCTCATAAAATCCAAATTGACATTTATTTAAAATATATGATGAATCTTATGAATAGTTAAATTCTTTAACATTTAAAAAAAAAACTGTCAAGAAAAAACTAAACAAATATTTACATATTCAGACTAATTCATATTCATCTTTGAATCAGCGCACGAAACATTAAAAAACGGACCATAAAAATTATCTATTTCCACAGAAATGTTCGAATCCCTAAACTCTAATTAAGGGACGAGGATCTCGAAACATCTTTGTTAACCCTCGAAATTGCGAATATATAATTTTTGAGTTAACATGAAGTGGGAGTTTGACTTTTGAATTATTCTATTTTAGTTTACTTAGTCTTTTGCATGAAACCAAATAAACACATCAATGAAAAGATAGAGGAAAGGAAGGAACAAGTTCGATGCAATGTATACATGGTACAATAGATTTATTTATTTATTTTATTTAAATATTCTTTATGATGAAGAAAAAAGTAAAAAAAAATATACAGGAAAGACATGTAGGATACCACAATGCGAAATTCGGAATCTCATAATTCAACAAGAACAAAAAGCATACAAGTTGCTCTAAATTTTACAAGGCTCCCATCTCTTTTTCCTTTTCAATTCATGGTTTTCAATTGGTTTCAGTTGTTCTAAATTTTCTAATATCTTTATGTATTGATGATAATAATTATAATTTTTTAAAAATAATCTATAAATTTAGAATTTTTAGCATGAATATAAATGATAAAATAAATCTTTTAACCTATTATTTATATTTTTTGAAAAATATGAAATTAATTTCAAGTTTCAATCTGAAGTTGAATTTGATTTAATAATAAGTTAATGATAAAAATAAATTTTGAAGCATAGTTCATTTTTATAATTTATATTTATATAATTATTTCATTGATAATGTATAGTAATTATGTTCAAAATAATTTTTAAAAGAAATAACTTTGAAAAGATTTTTTAAAATTAAGATTTATTTTATTTTTTATAATTACATATAATTCATAGAAATAATTATTTTCTCAAAAATGGTTCTAAAATTTATGGAGTAGATTCCATTGCTCTACATGTTAAAAGACGACTTTGTCTACTTGGGCAAATTAAAAGAGATCAAATTGTTATATACCTCCACGTAACAAATCAAGACATCTTTGAAACTTTTTAAAAAAAAATTTTAAAACCATTTTTTTTTTGGTAACTGGGTTTCCTGAACCGAGACCCAGACTAATTCCGGAGACGGGAGCCAGCCATGTGATTTTAAAACTATTTTGATTGGCAAAAATGATGATAAACCTTTTATAAATAGAAAGGTTTGGATCATAAGGATGAATCACAACAAAATATGTCCTTAATACAATTATCTTTAGTTGATAATTAATGTTGAATGAAATGTTTGCTTATAATAAGTGAATGAAACAAGACATTATCTTTCACGTTTTTCTTTCCGAGTTTACCAAGCATTCGACACTAACAATCAACATAATTTAATATATCCAAAATTGAGTGATTTAACCGCTAAGAAAATAGAATAAAACTTTTTTAAGACGAATATTCGATAAATTTTCGTATTATTAAAAATAAAAAAATAACATAATTTATTATAAAAAATACATATTTTTAATTATAAACCAATGGATTGAATGGATTCTATTAAAATATTTTGCAAGATAACGATTAATGTTTTAGTCACTTCTATCATATCGAAGAAAAGTCATGTCCTTTTTCATCTCATCAAATTCTCTATTAAAAAACAAAGGAAAACTCCACGTTATGGTTTTAGATTAATAAATATGTTAGGTTTCATTAATGACATATTTGTGACGATTGATAGCACGTCATCATCACACGTCAAAATAAATATGGACGTTATTTAGGTTTTTGGTGTTTTTTAATTAAGAAGTTGTAACAAAATAAATTTACATTCTAAATCTATTTTTTTATAATATTTATTCTTTATTGATTAAATATTTCGAATCTGAAGATCTTATAAGAAAATTCAGTATGATGTCGTCTGTTTTTTTCTTGCATATTTAAAACCATAATTGTTTCGCATTTTTACGTTTATTAAGCGGCGATCGAAGTGGAAAAAAAACAAATGTTATTCATTTTTTTGTTATCTTTTTGGTAACCTTTTTCTTTTTCAATTAATGCTTCAACCGTCATCCTCTCACCTTAAATGCCGATTGGCCTAACAATTCCTTTTGATTTTATAGATATAATATAAAAATTTTAGAAAATGAAAAATAACGTTATGCGTACCCTTTGACAAATAATACAAAGGTGATCTCTAAATAAAACCCTAAATACTTTGACAAAAAATAAAATAAAACCCTAAATAAATAAACTGAATATAGAATCTCTCTTTCAAATCCTTAGAATGTAATTCCTTATCTCTTTCAAAACCACGTCCACCATGCAACTGCCACCGATATTATAATCGACTTATTGTAAACTTTTTATTTTTTTAGAAATTAGTAGCAAACCATTATAAGTTTGTATATATATATATATATATGCATGATTCGAATTTATTATTATCCAGTTCAAATCCTCAAATTCATTGATATTTTTTTTTTTGATAAAATGTGCTTGTTGTATTTCTATCCGCAAAAAATTACAAAATCTGTTACAAAAGTTGAAATAGATATACAAAATCTAAGGGATCCCATGCGTAAGTGTAATTGAGCAAGATTTCAGTAGTAACTAATTCGATACCACAACTGTAGGATTTCATTCATGCCTGTAAATCCCGGTTTCTGCAAGGAGAAAAATATGTTGTGCATAGATCGGTCGATCTTGACTCTTAACTGGCTCACGGAGTTCCATATCTCAAATTCATTGATATTGATAAGATATGTATTCATTTCTCCATAAAAATTAAGGTATAAACTAATTCACATCTAAAAATTATATAAACATATCCATTTAGAAAATGTGCGATTATAATTTGTGGTTGAGGTCATTCTTAATCATCTAATGTTCATTATGGGTTAATTAAAATCTATATTATTTGAGAATGTATTTGAATGTCAAATTAATGATTTAAAAAAATGAGAGAGTTTCAAGCAACTCTGTTGTGAGATTTCACATTCCTTTTAACACCAAACATAATAGAGATACCCATACGAATGAGAACCACGTTTTGAGTTCCTCAAAAACATCATTCACTCTTGGTTTGCTCAATAATTGCTGTGGGCCCCATACACACATATATACAGATTATTAAAGATGATATAATCCGGTAAGAGTTGACCGACTACATTTTCAAGACGACCAAAAAAATCCGGATAAATATTCTTTTCCGAAATAAAAATATTTTTTTGCATGTGTTTTTATTATTAAGTTTGTCCAAATTTGGTTGGGATGAAGTAATACTCTTCCCATTTATTTGAATTATTCGATATTTGGACATATATAATTTGATTGAAATGTCGATAAACCTTCTGATTGAAAAAATGACAACAATATTTTTTTGTATATAGCCTTGCCCACTTGTTTAGAAAACCTCATCTTCGTCTCTATGATTGGTCCCACGTGGCGCCATATCATTGGTCAGTTCAACGGGATTCAGCTTTGTAAAAACATTTGTTGTTAATTCGAGATTTTAGCGAATTTTTTGGTCCGTTCCGGCATGTCCCGCCCGCCTGCTTCTTGTTGTCCCTACGACACAGCGCACGCCTTATGTCACGCGCTACTTCCCTCGCCGGACAGGCAACTGAGTTCCACGCGCGCGAGCATATTCTAGACACTTGGATCAAAACAGATCTAACGGCTAGAAAATTAAGGGGTAAAAGCATAATTTAATCAACACCCTGACCCATTGGCGAGAAATTGCGGGACAACATTGAGTGTAACAGAAGTCGACACGTGTCCAGTGGAGGAGCCGACAAAGACAAAGTGCGGAGATACACGCATATCTAAGGCATTAAAAGACAAAACACAATCAAGAAAAATATACACTATAAAGTTTTCTACACATAAATAAAATATAATATTGTTTTAGGGGGGAATCGAATCCATGCAGATAGCAATGCGATATGGATTTACCAAAAAGGATGAGAATTATGGTATAAAATCTACCGATGACGTGGAAATTTACGTATTAAAAAATATTGGATTTGACATGCAATTGCTTCGTATATATATTTTTTTTATATTTTTATAATTATTCGATGGTTTTAATGATTATATCTAAAATAAAAAAATTAGTTATTTAATAATAAAAATATTAAGATTGAAATTTTAAATTCTTAAACATAAATTAACTATAACTAATATTACAATAAATATAAAAATATAAATATATTAAAATAATAAAAACACGTCAATTATTCACTTAAATATATCGACCAATTTCAAAAAAAAATCCCATTTAAAACAAATCATAAACCACTTTTTATAAAATATTCACTGTCATTTTCCAGGTTATAAATATTATTGTAGAAAAATTTGCGGAAATTTTGTAAAAGAGAATGGGAAGACGTAGAAAAACTACAACAAAAGCTGTAAAAGTGTTTATACATACACGGGCGAATATAAAATATAATAAGAAATAGAAAAGATAAAAAGTCTTCAATATTTTAAAAAACATTGTTTAAAATTTTAACTATTTATAAATCAAAATGAATTTTCATTTTAATAGAAACGTGGAAATTATTATATTGATTAATTCATCTATCTCAGTCATAATTTTGAAAGTTAAGAATCTTTCTGAATGATTTAGACTTTAGTTAAAGTTGATGATCGGCACATATTTTATTTGAAAATTTTAAATTGGAATGGCACATATTTTAAAAGTTGAAGCATTTTTCGGGTTTCTCTTTTTGAATATAATTAGCTATTTATATTTCAGCTTATAAACAAAATAATAGTATGTGATGTTGTCATGGTACTTTCAATGCATATAGTTTATATTGAGGAATAAAAGTATCCTTTTCATTGAAAAGATTATGAACACTTCCTTTCGTAGAATAGGAGCTTTTTGCAGTAAAAGCAATTCTTTCATTGGACCCAGAAATTATCACAACTAAATTTTTTTTATTTGATTTTTCTTTTTTTTACTTTGGTTTGCCATATAACCCTAACTAATCATTAGTATTGATGTATTATCATGCAACGCATTTGTACTCGATGAAGCGAGGATTTCCTGCCTTAGAGATGCATTTATTACATTATTTAGTTTGTATGTAAAATATATATGTAGGTGTTTAATATGGTGGTAATTTATTAGTACGGTGATAATTAAATGGTAAAATCTTATATAGAATCATTCATTTATAATAAAAAAAATCATAAGAAAAACATGCATTTTGAAAATTCTACATAAAATATATACTTTTTTCATATTACTATCTCTTCATTAACAAATCGAAAAACGGTAAAATTGCTTGTTATAGTAAAACTAAACAAAAACATACAGGTCATTAATGAGTTTGATTATAATAACATCATTTTGATTCTTATTGAATATCTTTTTAAGGTTTCAAAATTATCCCACTAACATACTGTATTTACACAAAACACAATAAAACTTTTTTAAAAAAAAAAATCTCATCTAAAAAATCAAAATTTACCAACCCATATAAAATCTTATCTTTATAAAAAAATATTAAAAACTACGGTATTTATTAATTAATATAATCCGGTATTAATTTTATAATTAATAACAAACCAATATCACACAGTATATTATATTTTTAATTGAAAATATATAAATCAATAAAATTTTAGTGTATATTTTTAGAAAATATTAGAGGTTTTTTAGGATATATAGCCCAATATTTTTGTTTTAAATATCTATTTTTAAAATTTTAAAAGTTTTAAATATTTTTAAAATTTCGAAGAGTTATGTGATTTTTTTTATATAGCTAAGATTTAAATTGACGTTTTTTAAAAGAAAATTAAGAATATTTTTCAGTCGTATGGAGTTAACCGGATTTATTTATTTTTTTGCATGACGTGTTTCATTAAGGTACATTCACATTCTCTAGATATTACTAACGCTCAGACACATTTTCCAAAAATAATAAATATAATTAAGAAAACTCAACTTGAGTAAGTCAAATAACAAAAAAAAAAAATTGACGCGGTTTTAGGTGGAACAAACTAGAGCATATAAGATTTCTAGAGGAAATTATGATTAATTAAGTTATTGACATAACCTAATTTTGTGTCATATTTTAATTGTTGAAAGATATATTTTAGTTTTGCATTGAATATTTGGAGTCTAATGTCTCTTTGGCAATGACAAGATTAATATATGGTCTTTGCATACGGATGCAACAGTACAAATTAAGAAACGGTCCAAATATATTAGCCGGAAAAAAGTGTTACATTATGTCAGAATTTTTTTAAAATTATAAAAAATGCCATGAAGTCTCGATGTCTCAAAATAATTAGATATAGAATTTGATTCATTTTATGTATATAGTTCATTTGGTAGTCTTCTGATTTATTTATTTTCCCTTCAATAAAGTGGAAGTTATCATTTTTATGACGAGCTAGTTGTAGGGACAGGACTTAGGTACGATTTTGAGGCAGATGCATGCATCAAATATATTTGACCTACTTTCCAGTTTTTTCCTTCTCTCTTTTTTTTTTTTTTGTGGTTTTACTTTGCTTTTTATTCACTATTTTTCTATTATATTTCACGGGGAAGATGGGCAATAAATTGGTTAGAAATCAAAATAAAATAAGCAATTTGAACAAACATTTTGCCAAGGGATTCGTCTATATATCCTCTCTTTGATGTTTATTTCATGTCATGTTATATTGAAGTACTTAAAATACTAGGTTTCCACCTTGGTTTGGCATATATAATAGGGATGGGTATTTCGGTATTCAGTTATTATATGATATTTGGTTCGCTTCGGTTCGGTTTCAGATTTTATTGAAAAAAACTTAAATCTTTTTTAAAAAAATCAAATTTTTTGTGATTTTTTAAAATTCAGTTCGATTCGACTATATGAATACACACTCAAAAGATAATGACTACAGATTTCCAGGTTATTAAAAAAAAAATTGAGTACGCTATTTTTTTACATTGTGATGTACAATGGTGGTTGCAAAACCCCGACTCGAAAGCTTTGTACAAGCAAAATGGGTTGAATCAACTCAAGCTTGGGTGGTCTAGTGGTGAGACAACATGCAAAGTATGCTCTCACCCTGGGTTCAAACCCAAACATGGAGAGGGGCATTCACCTGGGCTTCCCTGGTTCTCTGGGAGATGTAGTCGGGCCAAAGACCCGGTGAACTTCCGGATTATAAAAAAAAAATGGGTTGAAACAAACTACGTAGTATGAATAATTATATATTAAATATTTTAAAATAAATATAATTTCATTCAATTAATTAAATAATAATCACGTACATTTATTTCCAAGCCATCGTAACTAATTAAAAGAAATAACATATATTTTATGGATTCATGTTATATTATTTAACAGATGTTTAATTCCTCTACCATGTCATAAATCATATAAAATATGAATTCTAAAAAAGATACGATTATACTAATATTTTTCGGATGTCGTATACGGTATACAACTTAAAAGGTGTTTCCTCTTTGAGGAAGTGGTCGGAAAATATGAAATATGTGTATGGAAATAACCAAAGACAAAGATAGGTACGTGTACATATAAAACTAATACTGATTTCATCACAGATTGGTCCAACATTGCATTAAGCTATTCTCGCTGTCTCTCTCATCCTTTGGATTTTGCAATTTCAATATTTAGGTTTTCGAAGGAGACTTTTCCTCGTCTTCCTGCGGTTTGGATCTTCCGACGAACTTCACTTTTTCATAAATTTTCTCAGTTTTAACAAACACATACAAAAGGGAGTGATTTGATTGGCACACACGCATATATATATATATATATATATATATTATTTATGAGTCCCATCCGTACGTAGGGAAATTCTGGATTTTATTTATAATCCTAATCGGTTAATATTCAAAACTATCATATCGAACTCAAAATTAGGTGGTTCAACCGGTAGAGATCGAACTAAACCTTCTTTCCAATCTAGGTTCAAGGTTTTTAATCCGGTTCAAGTCTCCACTTGGAAATGGTCATTTGGACTTTTTCGGTGTTTTGGAAGATATAGTCGTGACGAAGATCCGATAAATTTTTTGATTATAAAAAAAATCATATTTCTCTTATTTTAGTACTTGTTAGGTTTTTTGTCGCATTATTAATAGTGTTAGATGCATATTTGCAAGTGTATTACTGTTAATGATGAATTCTTTTAATTCATTCTGTATCAGCAACACCTTGCAATGCCACAAGTTTATTCTGTTTTTTGTATATATGGGAATAAAACATTTAGATTGAGATGCGTGCAGAATATTTTCATCAATTACTTTATACATTTAATATATTAAAAGAAAATGATATGATTCTAATTTTGACACGACACGCATGTATATATCTGTTTGTATTCTTATAAGAGACATGTCATTATAATATGTTATTACATTATTAAATGATTCTATCTAGTTATAAAAAAAAAAACATCAGACTATGTATATGAAAAAAAAAACGTTAGGGAGGGGATTATAATGTCATCCATCTCCGAATCTTTTTCTTCATAACACAAAGTAGGGTGTGGTCATTTTGTTATTAACCGAATAGTGAAGTCAAAACAAATCGAATAAGATATAATAACCAAATCTAATTCAACATGGTTATGATTTCTCTAAATACGGAAAAATCGAAATCGAATTGAACCGATTAAAAATTATTAGGTTTTTTATAATGAAAAAACCAAATCCGAACTAAAAATAACCGAAGTTTATATATATATATATATGTCCGTTATGTGTCTCAATTACCCTTTAATCCTTTTTGAAAGAGGGGTTTGGTTACTAATTAACACGTTTTACTTTAATAATTGTGGATAATGTATTTTGGGTCTAAAATCATGATTTTCCTAATGATAGCATAAATTTTAAATATCCCCCTTTCATTACCAGTAAACTGAAATTTTCTTATAAAGAATCGAATATTTTAAGAATACCACAAACAAACAATCAGAGAAAAGACAAAACATTAGCAACATGTCATTTGCATTGTATGGATGAAAATGCTCATATGAGCAACACTAAAGCTCGTTCCAGAAAGAAGATATATTTTTACACAATAATTTACATGATATTTGTATATCTAAATACGTATAACACTTATGATTCCATTTCATTTTCCATGAGTTGAAAAAAGAGAAAGAGGAGGGGAAGAATAGTCGCATGCACTGTGCCAAGACAACGAGTGGAGTGATGGAAAAGATGGGTGCCCCCTTTCTCTCACTGTTTTATCCCTTGTCTTTATGTATTTCTTTTTCTCCCATTTATAATATATAAATATATTATTTCTTTTCATAATTCTTTGTATTATATTTCCTTCTTCAGCGTGTAGAAAGAGTTGCAGAGATTTCTGAGTGTTCTGACACAGAGACCAAACTCTCACACAGATCTCATAATCACACACATCGATGTTCAGGTTGGTTATATATATATATATATATGTATATATCATATGGCTGTTCAATCACACACACACACACACACAATAGATGTATATATAGATGTGTGTATATATCATATATGTATGTGCCTTTCCATTTGCAGCTCTCGGATGATCATGAAACACGTGCAGACTCGGATCTCGATCAATCCAGGTTCTTCATCTTTTTGCCACAATTCTATGTTTTAATTATTCGATTTTCTCTAACTATTATTTTACTAATTTATTGCCAATCGTAATTATATCCTAATCCACTTCTTCATCTCTCTTCTTCCTCCTATTTTCTTCGAGATGATATAAATTATTATCCCCCAAAAAAAAATCCATGATTTTTTCGAACCCTTTGATTTTTCTTTTTCTTGTCTTGGAATCATATAAACAAATCCATACATATGTATCCATCTTGTATATAGCTTTTTCGTTTCATCTCGCTTAATTATCACTTGGGCCCACAGTTCCATTGTCTCGGTGAGCCAAGAACAAGAAGACAAGAAAATCAAGAAACAAGAACAAGAAAACAAACGACGATTCTTTCCGATGGCCGATTATTTCCATGGAAACCTGCCGGAGATCTCCGCCGCCGCAACCGACGGTGGTTTACAGACACTGATCCTCATGAACCCGACAACGTATATTCAATTCTCCGACAACCATCAACAAGGCAACAACAGTTTCGCCTTTCTGAATCCCCATGGGCCGCGGCCGACCGCCACGCAACAACCCCCCCGCCGTATCAGCGGCGGCGGCCGAGCAGAACGGGTTCATCCCGCGAGTGCACTACAACCTCTACAATAACAACAGCGATCATCAGTTGGAGTCCACCGCGTGTGAAACACCACGCGCCTCCTCCCAACAAGGCCTCTCGCTCACCCTCTCTTCCCAACAACAACAACGACAATCTCATCCGCAAAATCTCGGCTTTGGGTTAGGGTCTGAAGAAAAGATCCGGGTCGGGTCGGGCGTAACAAACGGCGTCGTCTCGGATCTTCTTAGTTCGAAGTACTTAAAAGCCGTACAAGAGCTTCTTGACGAAGTAGTCAACGTTAATAACTTTATGAATATAAGCCTTTTTTTGCGGCGGAGATAAGTTGTCCGGCGGATCCTCCGCCGGTACCGGAGAAGGATCCGCCGCCGAAAAGAGCGACGTCGAGGTTGGCACGGTGGAGAGGCAGGAGATTCAGATGAAGAAAGCGAAGCTCATTAGCATGCTTCATGAGGTACGTACATATACGTATATGTACGTATATACATACATTTGTGGATTATAAAACTTCTTAAGTTTGTGAGTCGTTTTCAATGGAGATTAGGACTCGTTCAAATTCTTATCACACTTTTTTTTTTCACAATTCATTGAGTTCTCGCAATGAGTAGCACAACAAAAAACATGCAACAAACCTAATTTTGTCTCATTTCATAAAAAACATACACTAATTTACATCTTCTGACGTTTTTTATCCAAAAGGTGGACCAAAGATACAGGCAGTACCATCACCAGATGCAGATAGTGATCTCATCATTCGAGCAAGCGGCCGGCACAGGCTCGGCCAAGTCATACACTTCGTTGGCCCTCAAAACGATATCAAGACAGTTCCGTTGTCTGAAAGAGGCGATCACGGGACAAATCAAGGCGGCGAACAAGTGTCTTGGCGAGGAAGAAAGTGTGTTCGAAGGGTCGAGGTTGAAGTTTGTGGATCACCACTTCAGACAACAGAGGACACTTCAGCAGCTGGGAGTGATCCAACATTCTAACAACAATGCTTGGAGACCCCAGAGAGGATTGCCCGAACGGGCTGTCTCGGTTCTTCGCGCTTGGCTCTTCGAGCACTTTCTTCATCCGTAAGTCACCAAACTCTTGTTCCAAATCTGGGAAATGCCCCCCAAGGATTTGATGGTATTATCGGAAAATATTATGAGTGATCTACATGAAAATTGTGTCCATCAGCCGTCTATATTGTAGTGGTTCGCATGTTAAAACACGTATTTTATCATCCATGAGTATAGAAATCGTCACGTGGTACGTTCTCTTCGAAAACATGTTAGTGATCTCAAGAAAGTTTGAAACTTTCTTCCATGAGAATGGTTTTGAAGAAAGTTTTGATATATATTTTGTTTAGGTACCCCAAGGATTCAGACAAGCACATGTTGGCGAAGCAGACGGGATTAACTCGAAGCCAGGTAGATTATTTGGTCACAAAAAGTCTATTTCTTGTCCTAATAAACCGGAGTTTCTCATATTTTCTAATTTTCTTTTTTCTTTTTGTGGATGGCTGATTTGTTTTTAGGTATCAAACTGGTTTATAAATGCCAGAGTTAGGCTATGGAAACCGATGGTGGAAGAGATGTACATGGAGGAGATGAAGAAACATGAAAAGAACAACGAATCAACGGACAAGACAGTGGACGAAAACAATGAAGACCTCGCCTGCAAGTCCACTAGCAATCAAAACAAGAGCCCTGCCGCTTCGGAGAACTACCGACTAAACAACGACTTGCCTAACCGCAATATGGACCTGGAAGGAGTCATAGGAGAACAAGGAAGCCCGAAAAGGCGTAGAACGAATGACGAAATGCTGATACAGCCGATAAATACAGACTTTCTCTCCAACGAAAAGCTCACGGTGAACCATATTCTCGAAGAGGGGCGAGGCCTAAGAGACGGGTACTCGTTCTTGAGTAATAGTTTCGGGCAGTACCAAATGGATGAGCTGCCAAGATTTGAAGTCTCGGATCATATGATCGAGGCACAGAGGGCATTTTCGGGCAACAATGGAGTCTCACTCACTCTTGGGCTGCCTCGTTGCGAGACCTTATCATCAACCCATCATCATCACCAAAATTTCATGCCTAATCACACCATTCAGCTTGGAAGAAGTGTGAAAATCGACGGCGTACCGGACGAGTTTGGCGCCATGAATGCATCAGCATCATCAGCACCGCATTCGTCTTCAGGAGCTTACAATGGATTCAACATCGAGAATCAGAAGAGATTCGTCGGACACTTAGTGTCCTGAAGAGGATCAATGAAACGAGAGGTGGAGGAAAGCCGAAACGGTGGTATGATTAGTATAGGTTTTTACAAGTGTTTATACTATACACGAAACGCTCATTTGAACGTAAGAACGTGTAATTTAGGGTTTGGTTATATATGTTCGAGGCTTGTATATTGATTTTGTAAGCTTTTTATTTGGAGGATGGATAGGAATAATACATTATATATTATATGGGTTAGTGGTGTAATTTTCATAGAGCTTGTTTTTGGTTGTATCGTATACCGAAATAGTATTTTGTTGGTAATAAATAGTAGAGTACATTTTGATATGGATAGTTTTAGTTTTTTTTTTTTTTTGTGTTTTCTATTTTCTTTAATAATATGTTATGGAATCTGCTCCTGTCGAGCCCTTCAGATGATGATTAGCTTTTCTTTTCCTTCTTTAAAAATGAAAAATATTGATTTTGATATGATTTCTCTGTGTATCCATAGATTGATACAAATATAGAGATGAACGTGTGCTCTCTTTTATGTCAAGTTCATAAACATTCTGACTCTGTATTACGACATGAACAATAATAAACAGTTTCAGCTTCTCTTTCAGGCTTTCAGCAAGCCCCCCCCCCCCCAAAAAAAAAACAATACACACAATCTAAAGTTGAATTTGAATTAATAATAAATTAACGAGCAAAATAAATTTTGAATTAGTTTTTATAATTTTATATTTATTTATTTCATTAATAATTTATAGCAATTATGTTTAAAATATTTGAATGAAAATTTTCAAAAATTTTAATGTCGTAGTTGAAATGATTTTTTTAAAATTTAGATTTGTTTTATTTTTTTTTATAATTATGTACAATTAATAATAATATTTTCAAAGTAGGGTCCAAAAGAGGACGCGTGTGAGTACAATAATTTGTGAATTGGTAGGCAGATTTTGGGCTTAAGAATAGATAGCCTTTAATGTACCACCATGGGCCCAATAGTGTTGGGCTCAGGCCTAATTGACGCAAATTATTGGGTGCGGCTAAAGTAATATAATCTACATTCTAAATCTATTGGTTGAACGAAACTGTAACCAGTTTGTCGATTTTGTAGTGATTGGTCGAGAATATTTCTATAATTAAAATTACTCGGAAAACAGTAAAGAAAAACAATTTTATTTTATTTATTTGTTCGGATTTAGGTTTCACTTGCTAGGGTTTTTAGTTTAAATATGGGTGCATAGGCTTTTAAATAATTACAACTTGTATATTTTATTTCATTTTTTGGTCATTTCTTACGTTTTTCAATAGATGTTGCTTTATATTTTTTTTTTCAGTTTTCGAAGAAAATATAAAAAAGTTATAGATGATATTATTTAATACTCTAAAAATCATGTTCTCATTAATACTCAAATGAAATTGGTTATTTTCAATTAATGGTAAAAATTAAATATTTTCTTTCAAAATTATATAGAAAATCTAAAACAATATCCATTAAATAATAAAAAATATTATCTAAAACGATATTTATTTAGAAATGGTGAGAATAACAAGCAAAAAAAGACAGATACTAAATCCTTGGAAAAGAGATAGAAGGTTGATCATAATTATAAACCCAAAAAATTCACCTGAAATTTTCTGTGTTCCCTTTAATTTTTTTTTTCATAAACAGGATAATAAAAATAATATTGAATTATTTCGAGATAAGAAAACCCAAAATCACAAAAGTATGTTATTCTCAAGATTAAACTATAAATTAGACAGTGAAAAAAAAAAGGATAGAATTCGTCCCCCATCTGCACAAAATAAAAAGTATAGAGTATATTATAACTAAATCGTTGTATGCATGTGTATTCGATATGAAATTCACGTCCTAAAATTTGATTTCAAATAAATTCGAAATTACTCTGGCCCACAACGCCCATCAACGAAATGTGGTTCGTGTTAGTGCTCAATTATGGAAATTCCAAATGTGTGTCGATTTAAAAATTTTCCAATTCATTTGACCATTTTTAATCGAAACCAACTTTTTGTGGCAGCGTCAAAATGTTTGACGGTGAACATCATATCGGACGTTCTCTTTAAGAATATTAATTATAAATGTGTTCTTGTCAAATATTTTGAAACAAGAAAGGAACATAGTCGCGTCTATTAACTCTCAGTTGAATTTGCTTATTATTTTTTAGAAAGACAAAACTGAATTTGAGTCAAGGGAAAAAAATGTAGCAAAAAATAATTATGGGGTAAAATGTATTTGTATCACCCAAGATCGTGGGCGAGTGGTCAAACTTGGGGTATGAGGTAACTCCACCTTGAGGTTGAGTGTTCGGTTCCTGACTGGTGGAAAGTGAGGTAATTTCTGGATTTATATGATCTATATACAAAGACTGTTCTCGGATTGGAGATTTATCTAGTCAGCGCGGCCGAATGGTAGTAGATAGGGGTCCTCTGTTATAAAAAAAAATAATGTATTTGTATCACTCAATTAGCTTTTCAGAAAGAATTTTTTTTCCACTGAAAATTGACAAAAATAAGTTTTCACAAGAAAAAAAAATGCGAAATAATGACCAAATTTCATCGGCAAAGGGATTTAAAAAGAAACTGTGAAAAAAATGTGGGATATCATATCAGCCTCTCAACAAATAGAAAATGTGATATTAAAGAGGTTATAGATATGTTGTCTCATATCCTATCATTGTAATAGAATAATAATAATAATAATAATAATAATAATTATGGAAGGCGTAATGCCCCTTCCGACCACATTTTTTAATTTAAATTTCTTCGTATATAATATGGTGGAGAAATAAAATTATAAAAGAGGGAAGAAATGATGAAAACCACCAAACTTTGAAAACTAATCCACTTCTATTTAATCCAACCCTATTTATGGCCCTCTTTTTTTTTTCTTTTTCTTTTTCTTTTAGCTTCCGGTAAATTGTGAATGTTTTATTCAACAGATTATTTATTTTTATGAAAACTGGGTTTCGGACAGTATGCCAGCTGTCGGATTTTATGTTTTTTTTCTCCTTCTTCCGAGAAATAATAGATTTTAAATATTTATAAAAATAAGAGGGCAGAGGGCAAAGACGCGGCGACCACAGAATCAATGTGATAAAATATATATATTTCTTTCGTGGGAATAACCACGAAAATCTCAAATAAAAATATCCTGATTTAGCATTCGATTTTAAAAAAAAAACAATAAAAGTAGAATAAATTATGTCGTTGGAGGCAATTCTAAAAGATAAAAAAAAAACAGATTATTAGAATGGAATCTAAAATTGCAATTTGAAAATATATATATTTTTTCCATGAATCACATAATTTGCAAAGGAAATAAAGGAGAGAGAATTGGCCCTACAGTAATCCCAGACGGAGCTCTCTCTACCGCTTGAAATCCCAATCCTTATCCTCTGTTCTTGTCTTCTTCCCTCTGTTTCCCCTTCTCTGATTCTCTCTCATTTTTTTCTTCTTTTCTTACTGTGATTCGTTTCATTTTATTCGATTTCTCTCTCTCTCTCCCCCCTATCCTTTGGTCTTCTTCCTCTCCCCCTGTTTGGTCGATTTAAGGGTTTTATCCTCTTTCTTTCCCTCCCTCCCCCCTTCGGTTGAAACCCTCGAGCAATCGCCGCGCTTTCACGCTTATTATTTCGATTCGATCGAGGGTTTTTCTTCTTTTCCTTCTCTATCGATCCATCTGGCTTGTCTCGGTTCGGTTGTGTTGTGAAAAGATGGGATTGGTGTCGGCCTTGCCGGAGATTATGCGGCGACACGCCACTGGGGATATGTTATCGGAGCTCATCATGTTCGTGTCTCCGCTGTGGGCTGCTGTAGTTTTGGGGGTTTTGGTCGGTTGGATTTGGAAACCCAAATGGGCAAATTTTGGTGTAGAGAAACTCACTTCTTCATCTTCTCCACATGCTTCTTCCGATTCAACCACATCTAAATTCAATCTTTGTTCGATTCCGAGTTTGAACTCCCTAAAGCTTCCCTGGATTGTCGATTATGGCGTCAGAAACGATTCCCTTTCCTCCCAATCCTCTCAAAATTCCAGCTTTAACAGCAGGTACCGATATTGGAGGAAATTTCCCCTTGTCCTTTGGGTTCTGAGGTCATTTCTTTTAGCTGACTAGTCTCTTTTCTTGTGTAGTCTTCCTTCACAGGTTGCGAAAGAGAGATCAGGGTTCGTGACAGAAGATGATTTGAGGCATTTATGGAAGTTAGTCGAGGTTAAAGACGGGGGTCCTGCTTGGATTCAGATGATGGACCGAACAAATCCCACTTTCTCGTATCAAGCCTGGAGGCGAGATCCAGAGGTACCCACCTCTTGGTTGTACTGCAAGTGCTCTAGTTTAAGATGATGACCGAATTACACTTATATCCATCCATCCATTCTCCCTTGGTGCTGTTCTTTCACTTTCTAGCATTAGTTTAAGATGGTCAGTTGTGTTGTTTATGAAAAGTTGAACGATGAAGAAATATATTTCGCCCCAAATCCCTGGTTTAACATTGTAAGCGAGTTATCTATACCATTGCTCCCACTTTTCTGATGTCGTATAGTGTAGTTTATCATGATAAGGCAGCCATGTATAGTATATTGTAGTTTAGCATGATAAGCCAGCCATTTATAGTATAGTGCTGTTTATTTATCATGATAACCCAAATGACTGAATTATGCTTCATGGGGTGTGTCAGAACGGTCCTCCCCAGTATCGGAGCAGGACATTTTTTGAGGATGCCACTCCTGAGATGGTGAGAGACTTTTTTTGGGACGATGGATTTCGTGCAAAGTGGGATGATATGCTTATATATGCTTCTACACATGAGGAATGCCTTGAGACGGGTACTATGGTTGTGCAATGGGTGCGAAAGGTGGGCACTTGTTCCTCGCTTTTACTTTGCCTTTTCTTGCTATGGACCATCTTAACGTATCTTTTCCGTGTGTATTCGCTTGCCTTGCAGTTCCCCTTCTTTTGCAGCGATAGGGAGTATATAATAGGCCGCCGAATATGGGATGCTGGGCGTGTGTTTTACTGCATCACAAAGGTATGTGACCTTAAAGCTTTTTCGGTCGTTTTGGTTTGAGCAGGACCTGTAGTTGCTTTGCTTAAGCTGTGGGCGAGGGAAATAGCGAAACTTATATTGGTCTGTACCTTATGCTGTAACCTGAGAAATGTCTAATGTTGTCGAGTTCTTAGGCATGTGTAGTGCATCTGTTCTTAGTGGACTCGCAGTTTCGGTTTATATATCGTTGATGCCACTGAAATTTGAAGGTGTAGTTCATCATTTTGTAGTGGTGGCGTTGGCATAGAAGACCAGTTTCTTGCCATATTCCTCACCCATAAGTGATACATGTATACTTCCTTTTCATTTGGTTTCAGGGAGTAAATTACCCATCTATACCACGGCGTAAGAAGCCAAGACGTGTTGACTTATACTATTCAAGCTGGTGTATTCGCGCGGGTAAGAGTACATCCCTCGTAGTGTTCTGATTTATGCAATCATGATCAAGACTGCTAGAAAGTTTAAACTATATTCCGAAAGCGTAAAACGGCAAATGGGTTTTGTCATATATAGCTGAATCGAGAAGAGGGGATGGTCAGATGACAGCGTGTGAGGTGATACTCTTTCACCACGAGGACATGGGAATACCGTGGGAGATTGCTAAGCTGGGAGTGAGGCAAGGGATGTGGGGTGCGGTGAAAAAGATCGAGCCCGGGTTACGAGCTTATCAGAAGCTGAGAGCCGCGGAATCAGGATCTCATCCATCACCGGAAATGGCTCGCATCAATACCAAAGTGAATCTTGAAGATCTGAGCAAAGAGAGGGAATCATTTCAGCAAGAGGAGGTCGAAGCAAGGGATTCACCTCGGAAACCTTCAGGGAAGAGCAGCAGCAGCGTACAGAAGGTTCTTGTGGTGGGAGGGGCAATTGCACTGGCTTGCACACTTGACAAAGGGCTCTTGACAAAGGCCGTGATCTTTGGGGTGGCGAGAAGGTTTGCTAAAATGGGGAAGAGGTTGTAATATAGTTAGACACGTTTGGAGTCAAAGGGAGAAAGCCCTTTTGTTCTCTCTATTCATTGGATGGGTGGGAAGCTGATCAGATCGTATGGTAAAAGAAAGAAAAAACCATGATGGATGGTCTTCTACTTCAGAGAGATAGAAAGGTGTTGTCTCTTATCCGCTTTGTTTTGTTTTGATGTTATGTAATAATACTCAGCAAAGAAGCAGCCTCAGGAGGTTTAATAGAAAAGAGAGGTTATATGATAATGTCACGCTGTGTATTATTTTTTTGGTTTTAAAATCCAAACCAATAAAAGAAAGGTAGGGGTGAGGGTATTTTGGTTATTTCCCAAATCTGATTATTACCCAAATCGAATAATCGGCTGGTTATAAATTTTCAAAACTCGAAATAATCGAAATAATTTATACATCTTATATATATATATATATCTAAATCTGGTTATTTCTTTCGGACCAGAGTGCGTTTATGCATTAGTGATCATATCATATTAAAAAATAGGGGTAACTTATTTTTTGGGCCTTTTTTATATATAAGAACGCAAACCAATGAAAGCAAAATAATAATTTTTGAAACAGGAGTTACAGATAAGGTTATCCCCGTGTGTGTTCCAGAGGTTTATGTTTTTTTAAAAATATATATATAAAAAAATATGATTATCAAATATTATTATTATAAGACCTAGTTGACGGTGCCGTTTCGTATGGGACGTGTAACACAGTGGAGAGAGATAAATAACGATTACTGTTTGAAAGCGCATATTAACATATGGCCCGGAATCTCCGTTTGCTTCGGCCTTTTAAAAATATAATATAAAGTTTATTTATTTTTGTAGGGTTTTAGGGAATAACCATTCGCATCCCAATATCAAAGCTGGAGGCTTTGGTCAGCCACATGTCTTTGTTAGATTTTTTTTTTATTAAGTGAAACGTCGAGTAACAGTTTTTTTTTTTTTTTTTTGTATAAAGTGGCATCGTCTTTTTCATGGGGTTGTTGGTCTGACCAATCACAAAACACATTGATTTCATACCAACCGTCTGCTTAATAAGACATTTTTGTGTGTTTTTTTTTTACAAAGATTACTATTAAAATGCCCCTTATTTTTTATAATAAAAAACAGGTGAAATGTAAGGTTTGAGTTAAAATTGCCCTTCGGTTTATTTCATGGGGCAGACAATTAGAGAACAGTTTCATTTCATACCGGCTGGTATTGTCAATTTTGTTGATAACCGAATATTGAAACAATTTGGACTGAATAACATGTGATAGTAACTAGGGGTGGGCGAACGGTCGGTTACGGGTTAATCGGTTACGGTTATTTCGGGTTCGGTTATTTCGGGTTATTAAAACCCATAACCAAACGGTTAATTAATTTTATTCGGTTTCGGTTCGGTTCGGTTTTGTCTATTTAAAACTATAACCAAACTATAACCAAATAAATATTTCGGTTCGGTTCGGTTATAATATTTAAAAAATCAATTCATTTATAATTAAAAATATTCAAATAAAATATAATATAAAATATTATCATAATTATTTTAACATATAAAATAATAATATCTAAATTTATATTTTGATATAAAACTATTAAATAAATATAGATCGTTTTTTTTCTAATGTTTATATCACACAAACTTTAAAAATAATAATAACAATGATAAAATGCGTTTAAAATATAATAAAATAATGATCAAATCAAGAATATAAACATTCATATATGTATATAAATATATATAAATGAAGATATATAAACGGTTCGGTTCGGTTCGGTTCGGATTCGGTTAATTCGGTTTATAAAAATTTATAACCAAACGGTTAATAATTTTTAATCGGTTCGGTTCGGTTCGGGTTCGGTTATTTCGGGTTTTAAAAAATTATAACCAAACGGTTATTTAATTTTATTCGGTTCGGTTCGGTTCGGGTATATATCGGTCGGTTCGGTTAATAACCGAAATACCCGAACCGAATGCCCACCCCTAATAGTAACCAATATCAAATTCTATATAAAAATCGAATGGTATAATTATTTTTAAAAAAGAAGAATCTGAATTTGACCGGGAAAAATAATAAAATACCGGAAATTTTAACAAGAAAAAATTAAGCCGAACTAAATAGAATAATTATAGTTTTTTTTACAAAGATTAATATCAAAATGCCTTTAGTTCTTCCATTTTGTGTACGAAACATTTGAAATTGTAAGATTAGAAATTTAGAATCAAAGATGCGAAGGAAGAGGACAATTATCTGTCACATTTAGTGTGTAGAATATTGTGTTCAAACTAAATAATTATTGAACCAATATCGACGTTTATTTCTTCTGTATCTTATTTTATAATTTCACCAAGAAAAGATGCAAGAGGCATTGACGTCCAGCTCATCCAAGAAACAGAGATACCCCAAAAAAAAAATCAAATAAAAATCTCTTTTTTTATAATTTTTAATTCGCTTTTCAAAATTCAGTAACTCTCTATCGCTCTCCGGCCCCACCTGCCTTCTCTATCATCATCTTCTTTAATCACTTGCGCATACGCACTCTCTCTCTCCACTCTCTGTCCACTGCATCCATGGCGTCTCCTTCCACTCCAGCTCTCCTCTCTCTAGCCCTCTCTCTCTCTCTCCCCCTCATCGTCGCCTCCATTGGCATCAACTATGGCCAAGTGGCCGACAACCTCCCTCCCCCTCAGAAAGTCATCCCTCTCGTCAAATCCATCGGCGCCACCAAGGTCAAGCTTTACGACGCCGACCCACAAGTCCTCCGCGCCTTCGCCGGATCCGGCGTCGAGTTCACCGTCGGTCTGGGCAACGAGTACTTGACCCAGATGAAAGATCCGGGCAAAGCCCTAGACTGGGTCAAGCAGAACGTCCAGGCTTATCTCCCTTCCACCAAGATCGTCGCCATTACCGTCGGCAACGAGGTCCTGACATCTAACCAGACTTCTCTCGTCGACGCTCTCTTCCCGGCGATGCAGAATATCCACTCTGCCCTCGTCGATTGCGGCCTCAACAAGCAGATCTTCGTCACCACTGCTCATTCCCTCGCCGTCCTCGACGTCTCCTACCCTCCGTCGGCCACCGCTTTCCGCCATGACCTCCTCCCTTGCTTGACTCCGATCTTGGACTTCCACACGAAGACGGGCTCTCCTCTATTGATCAATGCCTACCCTTACTTCGCATACGAGGAGAATCCCAAGCACGTCGCTCTAGATTTCGTCCTGTTTCAGCAGAACCAAGGGTTCACCGACCCAGGAACCAATTTTCACTACGACAACATGCTCTTCGCTCAGGTGGATGCTGTCTACCACGCCCTCGACGGCGTCAATTACAAGAAAGTGCCGATAGTGGTGTCGGAAACTGGGTGGCCCTCCAATGGCGACGAGGAAGAGGTGGGTGCCACGTGTGACAATGCTCGGAAGTACAACGGGAATCTGATAAAGATGATGATGAGTAAGAAGATGCGGACTCCGATGAGGCCAGACTGCGATCTCACCGTTTACGTGTTCGCTCTCTTTAACGAGAACAAGAAGCCAGGGCCCACCTCCGAGAGGAACTACGGTCTCTTCCAGCCCGACGGCACTCCCGTTTACTCCCTCGGGATCAAAGTCGGCAGCGTCTCCGGCGGCAGCGGCGGTAACAGTAGCGTCTCCGGCGGCGGCGGAGGAGGAGGAGGAGGCGGAGGAAGTGGCGGTCCCGGCGGCGTTTACACGCCGGGGATCTCTGAAAACCCAAGTCCTGATTACATGTCCATCTCCTCCGCAGCGGTAAAGTTCACGACTTTAGGGTTAAAGTTACCATCTTTTCCCTTTTCTTTTACCAAACGGGTAATACGGCATCTCGGGTTTGGGTGATTTCATCTACATTTTTGAAAAGAATGGGGACTAAGACGTCAATTTCCACCGTTTTCTGCAGTAAAGTTTGTGGCTTTCTGTTAAAGTTTTAACCTTTTCAAAAAAAAAATATCAATTGTTACTGTGTCAGTGGTCCAAATGTGAACTATGCGTTTGGGATTGGTTTTCACGTGGAGATGACTCGTGTTCCTGGTCACCATATCTAAAATCATTGAGATCATACACATATATATATATATATATGTATATATACACTGACGTTGTTTTGCTCATTTGTTGTTATATACTGACTTGCAGGACAAAAGTAGATTCTTAGAGTGCGTGATGCTCCTCTTGCTCGGCTTCATCAAGCTGCTGCTGTAGAATCTTCCGCTGCTGTCGTGGTGAGGCATTGATGATGTCATTTTAGTCCGTAAATTGACTTTTATTAGTTTGTTATGTGTTATTTGGTCGGAGGGTTCTGTGGTATGTGGCTTTTTTTTAAGGTAAACTCCTCTTCCATCTTTGGGGCATAACGTTCTATTTTGCACTCAGATCCCATCTTCCAATGATTTTTATTTTAATTTAATCCTTTTTTCTTCTTGTCTCTTTTGCCCACCACGCGCCATTCACAAGAACACATTGACAACTTGATCACATGGTTCGATCGCAACAATAATTGAATCGCCCATTTGTCCCTTGCATTATTGTAAATATACCAAATTGGTATGCCCATCATAGTGAATATAGCATCAGCTCAGTTTTATTTCACTCCACGGTCAAAATGTCTGTCACAATTTTTTTTTTCTCGATCTTGCAAATGGACATATGTAGCTGTCGGTAGATGGTCTGTTTGGTAGGAATAGTTGAGGAGTTTTTGAAATCCACGTGTTCCACGATGGTCTCAGGTCGACCGTGGTACAGAATTTTTAGGCATTATATAAAAAACTATATAAAAATACCTTATGTGGTATTTGATTTCAATCCATACATTTCTATAACTGTGACTATGTGATAAGAATTATAGTTTGATTATATGATAGTCACATTAATTATAACATTAAATTTATAATAATTTTATCAAATGATTAGTGTGATATATAAAGGGTGAACATGACGAATTAGTGTAATCACCATAAATTTAACGTTCTGACCAATGTGGTTACCATGATCAAAGTATAACTCTGATTACATGATGACGGTTGAAAAATGTACGGATTGAAGTCAAAATTCCATGTGAGTACTTTTGATAATACCCCAAATTTTTTATCACGGGTGAGCACTAATCGCATATTAGAAAGAAATCAGATTATTTAGATTTGTAATCGAAGGTTGTCGAATACGTGTAAGAAAACTAGTTATGGCCAAGTATTTAAGAAATCTTTTTTTTTTTGAATAAAATCACAAGTAAAAATTGTGTATTGCATCGCATGCAATTGGGCTTTATACATGGTTGTTTGAAACGTGGGCCTTCTTTGATTTTAACTGTTTAGAAATATCATTCGGTTTAAAGTGTTTCGTAAGAACAATCTTCTAAACTAAATATTAGAATTTGACGATTTTTTACCTATATTTGATCAATTCGACAAAAAGAGTCCAATGACTCGTTACCACCAAATAGAATTTTTATTTTTTTAAAAATTATTAAATTTATATTTTTACTTTATTTTTTTATATACATCCATTTTTTTAAATATTTTGTGTTTATATTAATATATTATATTTCATTGCTCACTTCACAATCGATGTGATTAACCAAAAAAAAAAAAATGAAACCTCACAATCGATTACGAGGATCATATTTTCTTTTTATTAGTTGTCTGTATGGACGGGACGGCTGTATATGTATTGATTTTGCCATTTAGGATGCCCTCTGTTTCTAAATAAATGTAGTTTAAAATTTTTTTCCCCACTTTTTTTAAAATATAAAAAAGTCATATATACCCTCGTTCGATTTTATCCTCGTTAATACTCCATTGACATTGCGTATTTTAATTAAGGGTGAAATTGAAAATCTATTTAAAAAATAACCTAAAAAATTTAAAAGATATGTATTAAATAATAAAAATTATTCTCTAAAATGAAACTTGATCAGAAATGTAAGGAGTATTTTTTTTTTCACCTTTTTGGAAGCACGTGAGAATTAAATGTCTATAATACATTACTTTCATCAGATCTCAAAACAGTTTCAAGATTGAATCTAATGGAAATCATTAATTGAAGGAATCTTGCTAACCCTCTTTACATCACCACTTAATCCCTTGCAATAATGAAACTCCGACTTCCAAGATTTTCTCAAGAATCCCCCAAATTACCCTTGGACAAATCTCTATTTACAGCGAGATCTCTCCTCTATTTACTACAGTATTATTTCAAACGGAGAATTGAAATACCAGGAATGGCAAAAACAAAATCCGTATTAAAATCCAAATACAAGAAATGAATATGATTGTTCCAAACACGCAAACTAAAGTCCAACTCTCAATGATAGATTTCCAATAAAAAGAAATCAGATTTATGATATTACGAGAAGAACAAAATCAATGGAACACATTGAGAGAGACAGGCAGAAAAACAGAACACAATCAATCTGAAAGGGCTTTTAACCTGAGACAAAGCTGTTAGATCTTGGGGCTGTGTTTTGTCTGAGCAGAATCTTGAGCTGAGCTCTCTGGCACTTAATCTTCGAACCCCAATGTCCACTTTTCGATCTTATAGCTCTCATGATAACCTTCAGAAACTCCACAAATCCCATGATCCCTCTCCTTATGTGCGGATTCTCTGCCTCCGGCGACGATCTCTTCTGTAAGTTCCAATTGCTGACGTCGCAGTTTCTTCTTTCTGAGCTCGAAACCCTTCCAAGCTTTATCGCTGTCTCCTCCTGCAATTTGTTCATAGGCTCTGAACTTTCGGTTTTCTGCAACTCTGATAACTTCTCCTCTAAGAAAAGCCTCGCATCCGCAAGCTTCATCTGAACTCTCTCCTCTCTCAAAACCTCAGCCAATCTGTGCATCTTTCTCTCCTCTTCAATCTCTCGTTTCAGTCTATGGATATCTGATTTATCGGATGAGGATTCTCTGAAAAGCCGATTATACTCCATCTCCAATGCTTCCCTTCCCCTTCTCTCGTTTTCGAGATCTTTCGACAGTTTCTTGTTCGTTGTCTCGGCCCGTTTTCGCGTTTTTCTCTCGTATTCCAGCTCTGCCTTCAGTTCTACGATCTGGGTTCGAGCTGCTTTCAGTTCTGATTCCATGAACGCCTTTGCGAAATTAAGATCCCAAATCAAAGTTTTAGGCTGAGGATGAGGCAGTGAGTGGTGGTAGCGGGGATTATCGTAAAGCCTCCAGCTTATGCAGATTGGTTCCTCGCAAGACTTTGAGCTGGAGACAGTGTGCTGATGATCTGGACTGGAGATTCTGGTCATCATCCTCGTTGATTCTTCTGTGTCCTCTTCATATGATAAAGCTCTCTTGCTTTATCTTGTGGCAGAAAGGTTCTTGCTTTTTGGGAGATGGGTTTTCTAATAGGGTACATATTATGAAAGGGAAAGGAAAAGAAGAAAGTGGGGTTAAGTCATCATGAAGCTTGAAGCTTTAGAATATGCAAAGCTGAGAGATTGATCACAATCACATAACCTTCCATCATCGTTGAGTGCACCTTCGGTTTCTTCTGCCTCTGCATAATTGTAAAAGGTGCTTCCTTTCTTCAGTGTTGGTTGGATTCTGACATGATAGAAACACCCTTCTGTTGTCTCTTTGAAAGAGAGATAGGGTTATTGTCTTGAAGGGCCAACGACACGAGTGAATGTCCCATTAAGTCACACCCCCAAATATATTCAGCTATGGATTTATGGCCTTTTCTGCCATTAATGCAGAATTTGCTCCACCTCTGTGTTATCTCTCTATCAACTACTATAAAGTATAAACCCTTTTGCCAATACCAAAGCATAATCAGTATTCTCCATTGTTGTGCCAACACTCAATGTTGTTTGTATCCGTTTCAGCAAATTTAGTACATCCTTGTATACTTGCGGATATCCGTCAATGGAACCGATTGTTTCATGTATGTAGATTGATTGTTGCTTGAATTTTTATCTATATAGGCAAATCCCAATTGAGATCATACCTCAAACCTGCCATAAACTCCAGCATTCTTTCAGATACAACACAAATTTGATATTTCAATGTCCAAGAGAAAATCTATAGTGATACACATACTATTCAATCAATAGGGATACACATGAGCCTATATCAAGTTTTCCTATGAAAAAAAAAAAACAGGCACTACCATTTTAAGAAGAATAACAAGAAAACAGAGAAGACATGACTTGTTTTGATGATCCGGTTTCAATCTCAATCATCATGTTTAAGAAAGTTTGCATCTTTACCAAATCCCAGAGATTCCAGCCATGGCTCAGTGGCTCACAATTCAAACTCGTCTGCAAGTTTCAGGGCCTCTGCTGCAGCCTCTTCATGCTCTCCATCCACCACAAAACACGGGTTGTGAACCTCTAGCCCAGTAAACACATAGAAAGCAACAGGAGCCAACTCTCCAGCAACAACACTAGTCCAGAGATACTTGTAAGAGGTAATGGTCTCCATAGACAACGACACGGGTGAAGTAGACAGCAGATAACCACAATGTAATACTGCCATGGCCGAGAACCTCAAGTCGTATTCGAACGGGAGCCGAACTAAGCCTAGGATCATGGGATCCGAATGGGAAAAGATAAGTCCTATATCAAGACAACTAGAACTGCTCATGATTGGGTTGTGGTGTTCTACATATTCAACTCCCTAAAGGGTATCACTCTTTTCACTCTGATCGTCTTGATCGGAACGGGTTGATCCTTCCTGAAACCATACTTGTGGGACAAGGAAAAGAAGATCTTGACGATCGTTATGCCCATCCAGGTCGTGGCTAACATTGGTGAGATTGGCCGTATGGCCAGGACTGGATCACATGGAAATAGATCTTTTTGTTTGTTGATGTCATTTGTCGCTGTGCTGTTCTGTTTCCAATCGGCCTCACGCAATAGATCCAAATTTCGGCGAGAATGAAGTAGACGAGAGGGAGAGAGAGAGAGGAGGAGGAAATATGTCTTCGGGAGGACAATTTTTTTAACGGAGAGGCAATTCCGACGACCACTCTTGCCTTGGAGGTTGTACATGGCGGCCGTCCATGCTGAAGACATATGGCGAAGACTAACGAGTACTGATCGGCGTCGTTCTCGATGGACGCGGTGTTGAACGTGCTCTTGCCCTCTTTCAGATTGTTGAAGGTGCAGACATGTTTCTCCAGATCCGACTGGAGAGTGCATGTTATTTCCCCCTTCCTCTAGCTGTTGAATCACGTGAACGCAAGCGTCCCCCTTGTGCAGAGGAAGAACCCCATTCACGATAGGTCCAGGAGAAGTTGAGCTCGAGTCGAACCGCGTGAGTGAATCCGAATTCATCCAGTGGGATGGTTGGTCGATCATCGGACCGGATCTCTGCAAAGGTTCCGGAAATGGAGAGAGACACAACAAGGAGGAGACAGATCCATGGACGATTCGGCTTAGGGTCGGGATCCCAAGAAACAAATTTCATATAAAAAGAAGAATTGGACTCAACATCTTTCACCAGATTTCGAATTTGGACTGTGAAATTACAGAAATTTGAAGCAGAGAAAGGATCACTCGCCCCCAAGCCTCCAACTTTGGTGATGACGCCTTCACCAGATTCCGTTTTCATTTTGTCATTGATCACTCCAGGTCTGGATACCTCATAGCATATCTAAAAAAAACTATGTATTGATCAAGAAGATCATACCAAAAAAAAAAAAAATTTCTTGTACCAATCAATGAATTCGGTTATACAATTTACCGGTTTTCTATCCGTAATAATGATAATAATAATAATGAGAAAGGTAAAAAGACTTTTGGGTCGGAATGATAATCCTTATCCCTTGATAAAATTTAGGCCCAATTAATTAAATATAATTTCATTCCAATTAATATGCTTCTTGACATTTAAAATATACGGGAAGCATATGGCATATATGCATATGGTATAATGGATATTATTTTCTTATGGGCATATTTATAAACTTTTCATAGGCACGCATAAATGAAAAAAAAAATGAAGAGTCACATCAATAAAAACAATATATATATATATATATGTTTCTATTGTGGTATTTTATTTCAGGAATCGATTCCATAACGTGCATGGACCAACGAGAAACGCCGAAACAAAAGAGAGGAGAAAATATTCGAAAGAGGGGCTTTATTTTCCACCTTTGTCTGATGAAACCAAGTGTGAGTCATACGTTTTCCCCAAAAGCATTTCCAAGGAATCCATTCCCATCTCTCTCTCTCTCTCTCTCTCTCTCTCTCTCTCCGATAGTTGTTTGTTAACACCCATTTCACATTGCTGCAACATATCTCATGGTTTTTCATAAAATATGATGAGCTCCTTTTTTGTTTGGCAGAAATCTTGAACTTACAGAAACACACACACACACACACGCGTATATATATATATATACATACATATATCCTCTTGATTATCATTTTTCCTCTTAGCTATATATATATATAGCATTTGGAGTTTATAGTGTCATTTCACGTCGGGAAGAAACTTGGATATGCTTATTTGTGTGGACTGTCCTATACACAGGCGACGGAGTTTTATTAGCAAAATGAATACGATCGAATGTTGTTAATTAATCGAATATAAGAATGGATTAAGAGACTAAAAATGTATGTAATGCTCTCCTCAGGACATCTGAGATGAAGCAGACAGAGAAAAATATAAACTTTAATTAACGAGGTGGAGGAGGAACAAAGACTGCCCAAAAAGACAAAGTAGTAAATGATGACGCGTTTTGGTCTCTGACTCTCTAATTATGATACCAATCGTCTCTCCTTCTCCTTCTATATAATACAAGTAATTGAACTGAACAACCCTATCTACCGGCTTCAATACATAGGACCAACCAAATCTAATACTATCAAATTAATCTAACAATCAAGAAATGAAGACAACCATGGTTTATTTTTGCAGATTTATATAAGAAATCCATGAAATAAGTTTTCAACGATTTACTATGGAAGATCAGCCTTGCTGACTGACCAATACCCTGCTGATCCGATCCATGAAATCCAAAAACGTACGTATAGATTAATCTTATAATGAAGCATATATAGAAGCAATAGTTGGGGGGAATGAAGCCTGGTCCGACGTCATTAGCATGAGATCAACCTCCGTTTTATATAGGGGTTATATATCGAAAAGAATGAATATTATGTATTATTAAATGGGAAAACAATAATAAAACGAGAGATCTGTGGGTAAGGGCCTCGAGCCAGACAACATTCCCCTCAAAAGACAAGGCTTCACCCGTTACGAACTCCGCCAAACCCTAGCTTCTGGTTTTCTCTCTCTTGATTTCTGAGAGAGAGCGAGAGAGAGATATATAGAGAGAGAGAGAGATTGCAGACAATTGTAGGAAATGATACAATATGATAAGAGACGAAAGGGGTGAGAGAGATTATAGCTCGACGTACTCTCAAGATTAATAGTTTTTTTTAAAAAAATAAAAAATAAAATTATAAAGGCAATCCGAAAAAATATAGCCAGATGAAAAAGACAGAAATAAAATTCGCAGGACCCCATCTCTCTCTCTCTCATTTATTTTTAGACATCATCATTTACTGTTAATTGTGTTACTCGCACACACGTGTGTATATATATATATGGATATATAAATTTTGTCTGTCTTTTTTGTCAGTAGTAAATCTTATCTCGAATGCTGTAAAATTTGCATTCCAACGGTTTCATTGGATAACTCAACCAGTTCAAACGCCAAATAATTACCACTAAGTTAATTTCGTAAGAATCTATATACGCTAACCCCTAATGCTCATATATCCCAAAAGCAGACACGATTTATGGAAAAATGATAAAATTTTGGGATAAAAATACAAAACTCAAAAAAAAAAAAAAAGATTTGAAGAAGAAAACAAAAAGACAGTCAGCAAGTGAATAATTCTTACATGATTATGTTGGATTTGATGAAATTGTCGGTTTTAATTTACAGAGATAGAGAGGTCGGAGTCGATGAATTGATGAGTGGAAAAAATATACTTATCATGCCTTAGCTAAGGAAATATCTAAAAAGCTTGATTAGGATATCTTGACTTATTACTATAATTAAGATTAAATTTTATATAGGGGGCATGCACCCGTCCGTACCCATACGATAAGAAGTATATATTATATATACACATCCTTATTTTTATTTTGGGATAGGGTAGTTATAGACCCATATACATACTCCTTTTTCTTGATTATTTTATTATAAGGTCAAGCAAATGAAATTTTGCCAAAACAATCAATCTTTAAAATGGTCACTGCTTTCAATAAACTTTATTTATATATTTACCTTTACCAAAAAAAAAAAAATAATGTTTCCATCCACAACAAAAACACATTGTATTGTCTGTCGCATGACAGCTTTTAAAAATGGCTTCTAGAAATCATACATATAAATTTATAAATATTTCAGAAGAAGAAACAAAAGAGTATTTGCTACGGCTTCTCCCGATTTCTATAGGTCAATGTTTTCTAGTTTATTTATTATTGTTTTATAAATCTATAAAACTTATTTAAAATAATAATAAATGTTATTTAAAAATATTTTATTAATATTTTGTCATTTCATTATATCTTAATCAATCAAAAATTTAAAAAACCGAGGAGTTAAACTTCACCACAATCAAAATTTAATGGAGGAACACGCGGATTCTACAAGAGGCTTTTGACTCTTGACTCGGGCTATCAGAGAAGACAAGAAGCCTCTAACTGGGACGGAGGTTTACGCGACCGAACTGTTCTGCGTCTCCGTCGTCTGTTTCAGTTTTTCATTTCTCAGCAGATCCATATCCTCTTCTTCCCTGTTTCTCCTCTCATGGCGACCCCCATCGACGAACCTCGCTTGGAGAATGGAACCGCACCGGAGTCCGAATCCGACCAGAATCTGACCGCTGAACCTCACTCCGACCACGATCCAGTACCCGAAATCGTTGCCCAGCAATCGGAACCGAACTCGGGGTCAGATCCCGAGGCGAAGCCGGAAGAAGAACAACCGAAGATAATCATTGCGGATCGTACGGCTGAAGGATCTGAGGATAATCCGATCCCGTCGACGGATGCCGACAAGGAATCCTCCAATGCCCAGCAATCGCGACCCGTTCTCACAAAGGACGAAGGCAACAAGACATTCACCATGAGAGAGCTGCTCAGCGAATTAAACAGCGAGGAAGGAGATGGCAGTGCTCACGGTTCTGGTTCCCCTTACAGGTTCCTCTCGAACCATATTTGGGTCTCCTTTAGTTGATTCTTGATGATGCATCTTAATGGATCTTCCAAGATATAGCGTAATCTGATCATGCGGATATTCTTCGAAAACGGGTTAGAATGCCTAACAATCGTTTGCATTTTGTGGGCCAAATTTTCAGCGAGGAAAGTCCTTCTCAACCAGTGGAGAGCAATCCCGCAATGGATCTTATCAACAGTATCCAAGTTAATGACGAGGAGGGCCGATCTCGCCAACGTGTTCTTGCATTTGCTGCCCGCAAGTATGTGTTGCTTGCTTGTATATATTATCCCCTTCACTCATATTTGGATTTTCATGAAAAATTTTGCTTCGATTTTTACAATTGGTTCAAGATTAGCTTATTGGCTTAATTTGTTCTGGAACTGCTGCATTGCAGGTTCGATAGATTGAGCTATTTGCTCATTGTTAAGGCTTGATCTTTTGTGTTTATGCTGTCTTACTGCAACTCTGTAGGTATGCTAGCGCGATCGAACGCAACCCGGAAGATCATGATGCATTATATAATTGGGCACTGATTCTTCAGGTTTGATTTCATTTGGTTTTCCATATTTATGAATTCTCTCTCTCTCTACTGTAATTGGCTTTAGTATGCCATTTTCATGTCAAAGTGTTCTAGGACGTGAATTTGAACTTTTACTATGCTGTTTCCATGCCGAAGTGTTTCTAGAACTTATTTACACATCTGATTTCTAGTGTTGAAGTAAAGAAACACAGAGGATGACTGAAATGAGATGCTCCAACTTGCACAAATATTAGATGGGAACTGCTTGGAATAGTTTAAAAGGAGCTTTAACATGTCTTGGTTTCAGGCCATAAGAACCTTATTTTCATTCATGCACTCTTACTGGAAGAAAGCATCCTCTCGTTCTTATAAGGAAAAAAAGGCCAATTGCTAAACAGTCTGAAACAGATCGAGTTTTCATCTCCTGCCATGATTTTCTCTCCACAGGAAAGCGCTGATAATGTCAGTCCTGATTCCGTTTCACCTTCTAAAGACGATTTGCTCGAGGAGGCTTGTAAGAAGTACGATGAGGCAACCCGTCTATGTCCTACACTTTACGATGTACGTATATAAGAATTCTGGATCACTGCCATAGTTCTATTTTCTGCCTCGTACTAGAAGTCTTATAATTCCCTTTCAAATGACATGATAACCATCACATTCATACCTAAGTTAATTACAAACGTAGAGTTGGTTAAAGTTTATTTGAGGGTCATTTGCGATTATGTTGGCCAACCTAGCCTGAGTTTTCAGTTCAATAAATGGTTTCAGTTTTTTGAAAATATAATGAGTGGTGCTTTCATAGGCTTACTACAACTGGGCGATAGCAATCTCTGATAGAGCAAAGATGCGTGGTCGTACCAAGGAGGCTGAAGAACTGTGGGAACAGGTTTCAATGCGACATTATAACCCCTTGTTCATAATTCTAGGACCTTAAAAAGACTAACCTGCCAGTTAAGAACTAGAACTATTATGTCGTTCAACCTCATCTTCTAATACTGGTTAGATGTGTGTCTTCCCATTCTGATTTCAGGCAACTAAAAACTATGAAAAAGCTGTCCAGCTCAACTGGAACAGTCCTCAGGTACGGGCTCTTCATGTACCTCATCTGATGTACCACTTTCGCAAAAAACAAACTTATATTCCATACAGAATCTTGGGTCTTGTGAATTGCGTTAGGCCTATGTTAAGTCCGAGCAACTATTCAATTGTGTTAGCTCTATATTTAAGTCCTTTTTTCTATCTTACTTATGATATAAACTATGCGTTATTTTCAGGCCCTGAACAACTGGGGACTCGCTTTGCAGGTATTTCAGCTACGGAAATGTTACTTTCCACTTGTGTTTATTTCCATGTTATTTTTTTACAAAGTATGCGCTCTTGTTAGGAACTCAGTCAAATCGTTCCTGCTCGGGAGAAAGAAAAAGTTGTCAGAACTGCAATTAGCAAGGTGCAAGTCTACACCTTCCCACTGAAATGAACTTTGCATTATGTATGGCTGACACTGATTCTTATTGTCCTTTTTTACGTGCTTCCTAATAAAGTTTCGGGCAGCAATCAGGTTGCAATTTGATTTTCATCGAGCCATATACAACCTTGGAACTGTTCTGGTAAGTAATGTTTGTCAATCTTTTCATGATATGATTCTCATACATGACTACAGATTTACTTTTGTTCAATGGCTAACTTGTTCGTTTAATCCTGTTATCTGTTTATAGTATGGATTAGCTGAAGACACACTAAGAACCGGGGGTTCAGGCAACGCCAAAGACGTGCCTCCTGGTGAGTTGTACAGCCAATCTGCCATCTATATTGCTGCTGCTCACGCGTTGAAGCCAAGCTACTCAGTAAGTATAACTTTTCGATTTTATGATAAGAATCAAGATGCTAAACTCTTTTGCTCGGTAAAAGAGCGAGCTTACAAGACTGAGAGTCATTGTTTCAACTCCTTTTGACCCAGGTTTACAGTAGTGCTTTGAGACTCGTGCGTACCATGGTAAGTTCCTACTTTAACTACCTTGTGGTGATCAATTGTCAATCGTGTCGTACAATCATTTGTGTCATTTGCTCATATTTCACAGCACAGAAGATGTAAACAGAACTAAATACACCTCTTTTGATATTTTGACAGCTACCTCTACCGCATCTTAAAATTGGGTATCTGACGGCACCGCCCATGGGAAACCCGCTTGCCCCTCACAGTGATTGGAAGCGTTCAGAGTTTGGGCTCAATCACGAGAGGCTTCAACAGGTACTCCATCATTTATACTCGATAATCAAGAATATCGCATGGTTTCAAACCTGGAACTGCATGCCAAATGTGAAATTCTACTTGAGAATTGCAGTTCATCTCCATCAGAATTCGGATACAGGCTCTTGATATCTTGAGCTTCTGTTCCCAAAAGACAGTGCAGTTTGTGTGAAACCGAAACATTGTTGGTGCAGGTGGTGAAGCCCGAACAGAGAGAAATGGAGCGAAGCCTCTCAGGGAAACCCGAGGCATTGGAAGCTGAAAAGAAGACAATAAAAGTGAACATTCCAGACATTGTGTCAGCATCTGCTTGTGCTGATCTTACTCTTCCTCCGGGGGCTGGTCTCTGCATTGATACAATCCATGGCCCTCTTTTCTTGGTAAGATATTAAAAAAAAAAAGCCATGCAGAGAGTATGTTAAGATTAGGGTAAATGACTGAATAGACAGATGATGAGAGATATGATTGGTGGGGATGATTGTGTGTACAGGTTGCAGATTCATGGGAAACTCTGGATGGATGGCTGGATGCGATCCGATTGGTTTACACCATCTACGCGAGAGGGAAGAGTGATGTGTTAGCCGGCATCATCACCTCTTGATGCCACAACTTTCACTACTTGTTTATGCTATTTGTTCTTTTGGGTTTATATGATGGTATTATGATTAAAAAAACCTTTTTTGTTTTTGTTTTTTTGATGCTATGTGTCTCTTTAGATTGTTGTTGAGATGCTATTTTTAATCCTCTTATATAAAGTAGCAAGTTTTTTTTCTTCTTCATAGAATCTTTAAATTAGGGTTGGATGAGTGATATATTGATGGAAATGATAGGATGGTGAGACTAAGGATTGATGTTTGATTCATTTTTTTTACTGCAATTCTCTTGGAGAATATATTTAACAGAAGAGTAGTTTTGTAGAAAACATGTCATGTGAAAAGACAGGCAAGATGACATTATAATTGAATTTGATTAGTCTCTTCATGTGTTCATAGGGTGGCAACATGCCCACTTCGGACCATGTGCCACTCTTCACCCTCATCCATCCATCCACCATATGTTAATTGTTTTATGAATAATAACTAATTCTAATAAAAAAATATTAAGATTATATGTTTTACTTATAATTTCCTTGCATGTCTTTTTTTTTTTTTTTGTTATAAACCCTATATAGTTCCAGTGCATTCATGCGCTATTCTCACAAATCAAAACTCACCAATAAGGGAGAGATGGGGGGAGGGAGATGGTTGATAGTGTTGTTACAGGCGGTGATGGTGATGTTAGGACAAGAAGTGTCGTGTGCCCAATACAAAGTCGGAGACTTGGATTCCTGGGGAATTCCATCTTCTTCTAATCCCTCGGTTTACTCCAAATGGCCCAAATTCCACTCCTTCCAAATTGGCGATTCCCTCTGTAAGCCCCCTTCTTCTTCTTCTTCTTCAGATCTCTCCGTTCTCTCCATTTAAAGATTTCATCTTTTTCGGATTTGGACAACAGTGTTCTTGTACCCTCCAAGCCAAGATTCAGTGATCCAAGTGACGGCAGATAACTTCAAAGCCTGCAACACTAAAGACCCAATACTCTACATGAACGATGGGAATTCTCTCTTCAACCTCACCCAGAATGGTTCCCTCTACTTCACCAGTGCCCAACCCGGCCATTGCCAGAAGTTCCAGAAGCTCCAAATCTCCGTCGGCTCCTCCGCCGCCGCCGAGTCTCCGTCCGCCGCCGCCGCCGCAGGGCCCTCCTACCCCACCGTCTTCGGTTCCATTCCTCTGCCGGAGAAATCTTCCTCGCCGGGCTTCTCTTTCTTCCCGCTCCTCTTTGCCTCGCTGTCTTCCGCCGCCCTCGGCGCCTTCACCATGTGATACAGATCTCAAAATATTATTTTTTATTCCATCGAAGGGATTAAATTATTGGTTCTTTGATTTTGGATAATTCTTGTTCTATTTACGCATTTTTTGATTTTCGAGATCTCTGTCTCTGCCGAATACGAGTTTTTTTTTTTTTTTTTTTTTTGTAATTCTTTGGTCTGTATAAGAAAGCGTTATTCTTCGCTCTTTACTAAAAGACACAAAAAAAGAAACAAATCACGATTAGCTATACATTTTTAAAATAAATTACTATTTAATAATAATGGCAAGCTGTCACCGACACCGTCCAATAATCATAATGTAATCATTATTGGGAACGGAACGGGTAGAGAAAGAGAGACCAACTCGCGGATGTGGCGCGTGGACGCCACGTTCCAGAAACTCCCGCTCTAAAATGTATAGATAAAGATATAAGAAGAGTCCAGCAAAATGAAAATGAGGGGATGGGCCTTTAATTTTTTTTTTTAATAACACACCATCGATTAAAAAGGAAAAGCCCATCAGATTACCAACCCCATTACATGGATAAAAACGACATGATTTTCCTAGAAATTACAATGCAGTCCAAATTAACTATAAATTCGTCTTTAGGAAATAATACAGTTTTTTAGGTGTTGAAAAGGAAATAGCTTTTGGAGTTTTTGGATTTTAAAAAGCGAAAAAACTGACAATCAAATTTTTTTAAATTTGGTTTTCCTAAAAACCCGAAAATCTACTTTATAAAAAAAATCAATTAAAAATTAAAAGCCACAATTTTTTTAGATTTACAAACTTATAAAATCCAAAAATCAAAAACTAAAAACTAAAAACCAAAAATTCAAAATAAAAACCAATGCGGACAATTCAATAACCTAACAGAGCAAGTTTTTATGGAACTATAAATTTTCTTTACTCTAATATAGAATGCATAAACCCAAATTTTTTAGATACCCAATCTCGTTTTCATCCCAACAAATTTTAAGAAACTTTGGTTCGATTGAGATATATAGGATAATTTTACAAGACCTAATTAGTATTGTAATCTATAAAAAAAATAAAGGTAAAAACGTAATTTTACTTCTGAACGAGGTAACTCGTCGTGATTAGGAAAAAAAAAACCCTCCAAATATGAATCCGTGGTTCGGGTTGACCTTATCGCACACGCCTTCGGTTTTGTTGATGGCTGGATCCCGAATATCTGCAAGACTGGATACCCGAAAATCCACGGATCTTGAGTACCTCATCCCACCTCCTCGATGCTCACACCACCGTTTCGGATGGGGACTTCTTTCTTCACGTCGTAACGCCCTTTCGACTCGGATATCTCAACCAGAATGCCCTTCTCCGTCCTAACAATGTTGGCCAGAGCCGACCACACTTCCGGTGGCTGCTCCTTCACCCAACACATCATGAAGAACACTTTCCTCTCTGCCATCTTCAGACACGATTTTCTGCTGCTTCTGCTCGACCTTACTTCCCTTGTCGCAGCCTTTATTACCCTCTGCAGATCGGAGAGAAGGCATATCAATGGAGCTGAGCCAAGGGACATCAACGAAACTATGTCGTCTACGAGATTCAATCCGAGTTTCAGACCACCCATGTGTTTATATGATGGAGAGCATGTCTTTTCCAAGCAGTACGACAACACTTCCTTCACGGTTTCGGGCTGCGAACTCTGACTCAAAACCGATGAAATATTCAGTACCGTTGTCGCTGAACCTAACGGATCCGACTGCCAGTCCCCATTGTAGATACGGAGTGTGAAACAAGAACTGTATATGATGTCGACCAGATGGACTGGCAAATGGGGAGACGGTCTCGTTATGCTGAGCTTGCTTAAAGGGGGCAGAGGTGAATCGGGTCCTCGAGGGATTTCGCCCTCTACCCTATTAGTATTACTCTCTTGCTCAGCGTTTTCTTCTGTGATGCACTGTACGAGCTGTGTGCCTTCCTGACTTAAAGAGATTGTACGAGCTGAAGGGCTTAGCCACCATGGTCCCCAAGGATCAATCAATTTGCTTACTTCTCCAGATGCCACGGCCCTTTGGAACCGTTTCCTCTCTTCCGGGGTTAAATCATCAAGACTGATTTCACCTCCTGCACATGTATAAACTCGATTTTCATGCACGGATGTTGACATTTTCAACGAGCTAAAGAAGTATATACTTCCAGACACGTACCAGACAGAACCTTCTCAATCAGTTCTTCGGATAGAGATGAATCTGCAGATATGATCAAGTATTAGCGAAGACCAACCACAACAAGACTAGAAAAACAAACACATATTAGTGAACAGGACATAAACATCATCATCATCATCACCATCCATGATATCGATTCCCTCATCCTCTTCTTCTCCCGCATGAAACCGCCTCAATATTTCAAGCATTTTTTGTTTAGATTGATCGTCTGATCGAACTTGTCGCAACTCATCAACCACATTCTCTCTCATGAAGGACTCGGTACAACGGGTACTGTGAGACTGTAATAGAAAGCAACAGACCAACCACAATTAACACAAAACAAAATCGACATGCACATTAATCTAGACATTCTCAAGAGCAGATCCAGACAACAAAACGAAGAAACCGATGGCTAACTGACCTTGTAACAAGAAAGAGAACAGTACCGAGAGTTGCATCGAGGACAAGTGTACTGTGAAAACTGTTTCTGGCACCTAATCAATAACAAAATACGATGGAATCAAACATAATCTGGAAGAAGAAAAAAACAAGAATCAATACTGAATAGAAAGTGGATTGCGGTGAGGAATCGTACACATGGCAAATTACTCTTGCCGGAGGATCCAATGGCGGTGGATTTGAAGGCTTCTCCGATGTAAGAATCATATCCGTCATAGCCAGAAGCCTCGACTTTTGAGTTACGGAGACAAACTATACAGAGTGCTTGAACGAAAACTGCATAAACCCGTCATTTAGATAAGATCAAGATTTAGCTCAATATGCTGATATGAGATTAAAGAACGATCCTAAACATCAAAACAAAGGTTAAAAAAACATGAACTTTCACAATGTTTATGTTTAAAGCTGCAGAAAGGATGTAACTATGAGCAAAATTTCAACTGCATTCAACCAAACCCACAATCAATTCCATGTTCCTAAACCCACAATCTCAAAAAAAAAAGAGAGACAATTTTGCAGCAATTCTAACCAGTATCACACTAAAAGAGGGGAAGATAAGACCCTAGCCATTCAAAGCAAAATTCGATAAACACGACTTATCCCACACGAGAATGACACCAGATTAAAGCGAAAAACCACAAGAATCAACAACTTTCCAAAGCCAGTAACAAGAGATCAAAATAAGTTAGCGAATCCGACCGCAGTCAGCAGCAGAGAACTAGAAATGTAGGAAGAAGCGAATCACCTGAGAATCCAAAAACCAAATCACCGTCGCAGATGGCAGGATCGAAAGCTATCGCTCGAGAGACAGGAGGGAGAGCGCGAGAGGGTGGGGTATATTTTCAAAATTGCAAGGATATTTAGTAAAAGTTTAGACGCAGAAACCAACTTGAAATTGAAGATGAACACTTTAAAGAGAGAGAGCTCTGGAAAGTTCTCGTAGACGAGACGAAGAGGATTTTGGGCCTCCACTAAATTTCATCCTTAAGGCCCATATATATATATATATATATATATATGTATATATATAGTGAGTGATAGGAAGAACAAATAGCCATATATATACACATATATTGCGGAAGGTCTATAATTTTCAAAGATATCGAAATATTAGAATGTTGCTTTTGGGTTTTAGGTTCGGTTGTATTGGGATTCTATTATTTCGATTTGAATTCAGTCTTCATTTATATAGATACTCATTTATTAAAAAAGTTGGTTAATTTTAGATTTGATTTGATTGGATTTTATTTTTTATTTTAAAAAACATGACCGGAAATTTGGTTTTTAACTAAATTGGTGAAAATTTTCATATCCAATGACATTTACATTCCATGTAAAACTAAATGAATTTTTAGAAATTATTCCACAAGAAAGATCCAAAAAAGCCCAAAAAAGCCCAAACCCGAATCACTTTGAATATAGAGATGGGAAGGAAAGAGGAAAACGAACATAACAATCGTCACATTCGTCAAAATCGGACAGCTGTTTCTCATCGGTCTTGATCTCCGGCGAAGAAGAATACGAATAAGAAGGCGGCGGAGGGAAATCAGCGGCAGAGAATGGTGTACGTAAGCACAGCTCCGACGACGGATGTGAATCGGAATACGGAGTGGTTCACGTACCCAGGAGTCTGGACCACTTACATCTCCATCCTCTTCTTCTCCTGGCTCATCTTCCTCTCCGTCTTCGGCTGCTCTCCGGGCATGGCCTGGACCATCGTTCATCTCGCTCATTTCATCGTAATCCCTCTCCTCGGTTTCGACCCTTTTTTGGTATCGATCTGTTTGTTATGCTTCGATTGTAGACTCTGGGTTTTGTTTTTTTCGATCGAATTTGATGGGTTTCTTGGGGTTTAGATTAGGGTTTTTGAAACAAGAGCGTTGGTTCTAGTTAGGCTGCTGATATGCTTGTTCATGGCTACTGAACTGAACTGTTGTCTTGTATTTGTATGGGTAGGATCTATTTCTTCCTTATATTAGGACTTGGAAGGTCGAGCTATGCTGTGATTACATAGCCCTACAATTTTTACATTTAAAGATTGAAGTGATCAAGGAAATTGTTATTATTTGATCTATAATCCAAAGGAGCTGTCTTTCAAAGGAAATCACAATGGCCGTAATAACCCAACTTTGATATTTCTTCTAGGCGACATACAATTTCTTTCACTGGAAGAAGGGTACACCCTTTGCTGATGACCAGGGAATCTACAATAGGTTGACATGGTGGGAACAGATAGACAATGGCAAGCAGCTCACTCGCAACAGGAAGTTTCTGACTGTCATTCCTGTTGTCTTGTAAGCTTCTCTTCCCTCTTTACGAGCATTCTGTCATTTTCCATGTCTGAGTTGAAAAGCACACGTCGAGAAAAACTTGATTTTGTTTAGAGTTTGTCATTCTATAGCAACTGTATTTTGAGATGAGAAAATGTTAGTTAATGGGCGTGATTTTGCATATTTTTTTGCGATCTTGGAGTGTGAAACGTCCATGCCTGCTGTCTCATGTGATCAATGAACCTTTTTTTTTAGTTCAATCTAGCCCATGGCTTGAATAGGTCGTCCTTGCCTACCGTTATCCATCGTTCTCTAGTTTGAGATGTTCAGAAGAATTAGAAGAGATGTCCTTTGTATCCGTGCCCCACGTTGCCTCTTGTTACTCTCAGAAACATTCAAAGGAGTCAATCTCTGTCTGTTAAATATAGTAAGTTGTTTGTATGATGATTGGATTCTTGTTCTGGTTGTCATTATTCTACGTTTGACATAGCTTGTCTGTTTTATTTTCTGTTGCATACACGTGTGACGTGACGTGTTTGTTCCACCCGATTTCTACGACGACTAAGCCCCAATTTATGCGAAATACAGAAAAATACCCTTTCCAATTTCCAGTACTGTTGAGTATTGCTTTCTGTTTCCTAAATTGGCATTGGATCCACTCTGTAATTGGGTTTGGACCTGCTTGCTTATTTCTGTGGAATCCTGCATTCTTATTGGACTTTGGTACTTTCCCTTTCATTCTTTCCCTTTTCTAGTCTCTGGATCCGAAGTGTTAGTTTGGATTAATACATCTCACACGAGATCCTAAATTCATTCTTCAGACATTCATACAGTGGTTTAGCTTTGTTCCAAGGATTCTGCTAGTCCAGAGGAAAAAACTTTTAATCATATGTTGATTTACCCATTGTATTAGCCTATTATCACCATTTTAGAGGATTGTTCTACATTAAATATCGATATCTACTATTGGTTTTCTCGGGTATTTTTCTGCATTATCTCACATTTACTGGGGGTCAGGCCGATAACTGTCCCTAACAAATATGTATCTTTCTCGTATTTGGTTGAGTGCCTGCCTTGTTGCTCGGTAGGGGTTAAAATGATTTAGTGACGCATTCTTTCAATCTTTGGCACCGACATAAATCTCTTCCATTCTACCAAAAAAGAAGAAGGGAGAAGCTCATAAATCGTTGGATGCAGGTACCTGATAGCATCACACACGACGAACTATGAACATCCAATGCTCTTCATCAACACACTGGCTGTATGTATACTGGTGGTGGCTAAATTCCCGCACATGCACAAGGTCCGTATATTTGGGATCAATGCTGACCAGTGAGAAGGTTAGGTTGTCTTGTCTCTCTGAGAGTAATTTGTAATGGCGAGGAAGTTCAGCAACATGTCTGTCTTCACAGGGACATTGATTGGATCCGGGAGAGTATATGGTCATTTCCCTCCTGGTCACTTACTCATATGCCCTCTGTTTTTCTCCTTAGATTCTATGTAAAAGTAAAAGAATTTATATTCAACTTTAAAGTTGTAAAGCTTGGGAGAACAATGGATCGGTGGTTACACAGTGCGTATAGGTTAAGGATGGATGGATGGATGCATTTAGGGATTTTACTGACAAAAGGGTGTTGCACATGAATTCCTTTGTCTATGTATTCTGCATTTGTTGCTTTCCGTCTCTGATTAAACCCCCCCCCCCCCCCCCACCCCCCCTC